TCCCCACATGTGATGGTAGATTTGTCATTAGCACAGAAATAGCACATGTATGAGTAGTAATGAGTAATAGCGGAAAATCACGCACAAACAAATAAAGCAAAAATACGGAGCGATAACCTAAATTTGAAATTCATTTTGTCCTCACTCTGCAGAATGTTTCCATCATATTATTTTATGCATGTGTGGTATGAGAGTGTTTTTGAATTTCTTGAGTTTTAGATATATGAAAGGAGGGAGCCATGTGATTGAACCTCTTTAAGGCTTGCAATCGCAGAGTTTATCCCCTGGCTACTATGCCACATGTTTGCATGGACTTTCGATAGCTAGCGATAATTGCTGTAGGATTGCATGGAAACTACTGATTATTTATTTATTGCATAATGGTGACGCTAGGAATAAGATCCCAAGTACACCCATAAGTTTTGTCTTTGAAGTCTGCTTATGCACTAAATGCAATCCTAGCTTTCTATGTGCAATGAAACGAATAACTAAAACTAATAACAGAGTAGAAGCATGGGGTGCCTCCTATTAAGTGCTCAATTATAGTCTTGGGCTTCAATCATTCGCGGTGGTTTGAACCAGGGGCAGGCGCAGCTCTGCACTGCTTGCCATTACAAGCTTCATTACTTCGTTCGTCACCCTCCAAATATTAAAGTTGCTTGTTTGATCATTCGGTGCTCGAAGCTTTGAATTTGTTTGTATTTATTTATTTTTGTTTAAAGAAGTTTGCCCCTTTGAATAAAAGATCATCCACCCTTTTTATAGCTTTCAATATTAGGTTGAATCTCTTGTCCTAATCTCATTTAATGTAGAAGTTGAATTGAACTCTTTTCTAGCTTGTAAAGCTATGTGATAGCATGATTCATCCCTTGAGCATGCTGGTAACATATTTGCTAATTGCTACCCTTGTGATCGCATGGCTAAAGCTATCGGATGCAATGTTTGATCCAATTTCTTCCTCTTCAAGTTGGTCCCTTGATGTCTTCTTTGTTTCAGTTCACATCCTTTTTTATTTGTATCCTGTGCCTTCCATCTTTCAATTTTTTTATTTTTATTTTTTTTACTATTATTATTATTTTTTTTCAATTTAATCCTCATCATTCTTAATTATTTGGAATCGTTCGGTCTCAAGTTCCAGTCTTGGCTTGACAGAAAGAAGTCCCTAGAATTCTACAGAGGTTCTGATACAATGTTGGATATAATTTCTCGACTTTTCCATAGATCAGTTCTAGACGTGTACAAGGAACTATAAATAGAAAGCATAAGAAAACTAATAAAGGGGGAAAATGGTTTTCCCGGCAATCCGGCTATTCCTAGGAGAATCAATTCACAATAAGAAATATAATCAGATACAGTAAGTTACAATAATGAGAACACTCATGTACAAACTATACTATTTTAGGAAACAAATATTTTCCTTTCTCACATTCAATTTGGCTGCCTACTTCTGAATATGTTATGCCTTTATTAAATCTCAAAACCAGTGAGACATGGTATGGGAGAATTGATGATCTGGGGACTGCAAGGTCTTGGATTCAGGCATGCCAAAAGTGTGGGCGTTGGTACTGTAATCATCATTTGTTTGGTTATATTCCATTGTTATGGTAACAATATTGGTAGCTTATTGCCACTACCTTCAAAAGAAGTACGCGAGTGCCTGCATTTTCATAGAAGCTTGCCCTCGTTGAATTTCATAAAGTTATTTTCACCAGTACTAGAGCATGTGTAGCTAAGCTTATAGAGTTATGCTACCTATCAGTAGTAGAAATCATCACTAGTATAGGTGCTTACTTTGTCATGCCCTTCAAACTTTTCTTATTACATTTGATTTGCAGATTGGACTGCAGAATCAGAATTATTTATTTATGATATGAATCTAAATGGAAGTGAAGTGTTTGAGTCAAACAGTTAATCTCCAATTCTCTCTCTCTCTCTCTCTCTCTCTCCCTCCCCCCCCCCCCCCCCCCCCCCCCCCCCCGGCTCCCTGTCTGTCTTTCTCTCGTGAAATGCTTGTTTAATTTTAATGCCTTCCAGAACGTGTATTTGATAAAGCTTATAAATTGCTGTCTCGAACTATTATTTTAATGTGCATGTTGGGTAATCCTCAAAGTAATTCTTCTCATCCTTCATAGAGGAAACACAAGGTTAGTTTCCTTTTTTATAAGCTATACTTTTTGTGTAGAACAGATTATATTTCTAATAAATTGAATTGATAATTGATTTTTTTTTTTTTTTTATTTCCATTCTTTTAAACTAGTCTTGGTCCAAGTGTTGATTTATGGCTTTAATATTAAGATAAAAAACAAATGTCAATAGTCAAGTCCATATGAGATTTGAATGGGTTGTGAGACTACCCATTTCGAATCACCCAAATGGATTCGACACGTAACGTACGTAGATACAAACCAAGTGTCGGACTCACCACCAAGACAATTTTGAACTGCTTTGACTGTGAAATATTTTTATAAAAATTTTGACAAATCTTCCTTTGCAATAGAGACTAGAACCACCTAAACAATAATCATTTTCTTAAAGTTTGTACATATAATTGAAATTAGGGGTACATCAGCCCGTCAAACACAAACTATTCAAAATACAATCAATCTTTACTTTTATCTACAAATAAAAGTCTCCAAATGAACTAAAGATACCGAATAGGTAGCGAGCCCATAATATGGATACATAAATTGCAAATTCACTTTTCTGATAAAAGATGCATGTATCCCAATATAAAATATGAACTATATAAACTAACAAAATAAATCATACAACTAATGCCAATGTGTGGCTCAACTCGGTGGATCGACAAGCTCCAACCCTGTGCAACTCGACTACTATCTGATAGGAAAAAAGGGTGACAAAATATATGAGCTTGTAAATAGTAAGCTGATATTTCGCAAATAGGTATGTTTTTTTCATTTATGCAAACTTTCTAAAAACCCTTGTGCTATTACAACTTCTAGAAAGTATGAAAGATAATAATGCTTTTAAAACTATAGCATAATGGAATCATAAAAATCTTTATTTTGTAAATTGCACAAACTAAATTCTATATACTGAAATCTGATAAACTATACAATACTGAAAAATCATACCAAAAAGGTATTTGGAATAACCATACTCATATATCGATTAATCTCGATGTATATGATAAAGATATTCAATTCTAAAATTCTATAAACTGAAAGATATCATTATTACGAATAGACCATCACGTATGATATTTCTTACTTGTGAAGTAAGTAGCTAATCTCACAAGTTAAAGTGTGGTGACACTTAAATGAAAACGTGGATGTTTTGTTATAGAACAAAACATTGGAGACCCGCCGATAGATTCCACATGGATAACTATCTGAGTGTCGGTGGTTAATCTCTAACGTTCGATAGTGGAATTGGTCCTTTGACTTGAGGTCGTCATAGTACCTTATATGAGGACAGTCATACTTTGACGTTGTTGGATGTTGCTCTGCAAAGGGCTGCTAATTTGACATCATTTGGGTACGGCAAAAATCGTATGAAGGTTGTGATTGACCAATAAATGATTCGTCACTCTTAGATAGTAGGAGATTATCATCTCCGTTTCATTCAATTAAGTCGATGATGAAATCTTTGGCCAAAGTGTACTCATAAGTCGAAAAGGAGTTTTTGACTTATATTGACTTAATAGTGAAGTGAAAGATATAATTGATAATCGAGACTGACATGCTTTCATATCTCGTAATTGATCGGATCATATTGACGAAGGGATTATAGTTTCATGATAAACGAACGAGTTTGATTTTGTCATACCACATGACATTTCCCGTCACATGTATTGTCCTGACACATTGCTAGATGTCAATTTGGGACGGTGAGTGTGAATTGACGATAAATTAAAAGGATGTTTTAATTTATCAATTTTGATTAGATCAAAATAACATTTCACGTCGTTAGGAATCGTGATCGGAACCTAATGGGTCACACACAAAAGAGAATTGAAATATTGCAATTTGTCAACTAATTAATTTAACAATCGTTGGATAAATTAATTAATTGGGTTAGTTATTTATAGGCTCGAATTAATTAATTCATGAACCGGATTTATTTAAATGGATTAATTAAATATTGGACCGGACAGGGCCAGACCCGTTTGAGCTTATATAAATACATGGCTAGGATTTTCAATCCGTATGGTTTTTCTCATAACTATTCTTGCTAGCACAAGAGGAGAAAACCCTGATAGTTGCAATCTTATTCTCTGTGAGGATCATCATTGGAGGCTATACAATTGGATAGCTGTGGATGGTGAATCAATATTGCAGGAAGAAAAAGAAAAGCAAAATGTTTACAGAATTTTTCAAAGGTACAATCTTTATCACGATTTCTATCTAAATACAAAGGGATCATCGGTAGAAATCGAAATAATTTTAATTTTTCGCTGTGCATGTATAAGTAGATTCCCAACAGTGATATCAGAGCCTACTTTGTGTTTGCTAGAAATTGCTTTGCATGTTGGAACAATTAAATGTTGATTGTTTTTCTTGTTTTAGCGATTAACGAAATAAATAATTTTTCATATTCAGAATTAGATTTTGAATAGAAATTATTTTTTGGATTGGAGCATTAATAATGTTAAACAATAATAATAATAATAATTGGGATCTGGTGAGGAGCCGGTGGCAATTGCTGGCAGCGCCGCAGCGGACTGCTGCCGCGCACAGTGACAACGGCGCTCGCCGCTACTGCTAGTTTTGGAGCAGCTGCTCGTTGCGTGCTGGCGGTAGGAAAGCGGCGGCCTCCGCCGCGAACGCCACCCCTTGTTAATAGGCGTCGCCAGCTAAGTAACAAATAAAAAAATTGAATTTTCTAGGGTTTTCTCAATCGGGTGGAGACGGGGGCCTCAGCTGTAATTTAGGAAATTGCAAGCCCCTAGTTGCAATTATGGAAGAGGGGTCAATTTGCAAATTTTGATATAAGGACCTGTTATGCGATTTGTTAAATTGGAAGGGTTTGCTTATAATTTTAATCTTGGGTCAAAGTGCAATTTTTCAAGTGAGGTTTTAAATGCAATTTTGAAAAGGTTTTAAAATTGTTTTAAGTGGGTTTTGACCTATTTTGACTAGAGTTTTAATTTTGACCCAAATTAAAATCTTATTTAAAAATTGGCGACATTTTATATTTTCGTTAAAATTGAATTTTAACTTAAATATTAAATTTTGACCCAATTGAATTTTTATTTTATTTAGGAGTGTTATCCTAGATTAAAATATGAATTCAATTTAAATTAGAGTTTGACTTTAATTTAATACTTAATTAAAATTTGATTTTAATTAATTATTCACCCAATTATATTTTTGAAATTAGAATTTGATTCTAATCTGACATTTAATTAAAATTTGATTTTAATTAAATATGTTCGCCCTAAGATCTTGGAATTAGAGTTGGACTCTAATTTTGTTATTTAATTAAAATTGGATTTTAATTAAATTCTACCGCTTTAAATTTTGAAATTAGAGTTTGACTCTAATTTGATATTTAATTAAAATTTGATTT